CCGTCTTTAAAGGCAAGAAATGGTTGAGTATTTACCTTTACTTAAAAAAAGACCCAGGACCCATTTTTGGAATGTTTAAAATAGCCGATCAACACTGCGGTTCATTTAATATATCTGATTAATACGATGGCTTTGGCCGATATTGCAGATTTTAAAGCCCCGCCACCATTCCTTGAACTAAATTCCTCTCCCCAGGTTTTCGTTCCATCTGTGCATAATTCTGAATTGTCTCTGTGTACAGCCCCACTTCTGCAGGTAAAAATCCACCATTGCGTAATACTGTCCAGGGACACATTGAAAAAATCGACCATGGTGTTTCTTGCAAGGACCACAAAATCAATTTCGTTCATGGAACCACAACCCTAGGCTTTAAATATAAAGATGGTATAGTGGTCTCAGTTGATTCTCGTGCTTCTGCTGGGGGCTATATCGGTATGTTTCCTTAAAACTTCATCTTATTGCTCATTAGCCACGCCTGATGTACACAAGGTTCTGGTTATAAACAAATACATACTTGGAACAATGGCTGGTGGAGCTGCAGATTGTCTTTATTGGGAACGTGTGCTGTCAAAGCACTGCAGGTGGGAAGGTTTTAGTCCTCTTACCTAAAATGAACAGATTATTTGAACTCCGAAATAAGGAAAGGATGTCGGTGGCTGCTGCCTCGAAGCTTCTGTCTAATATGCTTTACAATTACAAGGGAATGGGCATTTCCCTGGGCTCGGTTATTGCTGGTTATGATAAATTGGGCCCTGGACTATACTACGTAGACAACGATGGCACCAGGCTCACTGGTGACTACTTCTCTACTGGATCTGGCAGTCCTCACGCATATGCTGTCCTCGACCGTGGATACAAGTTCGACATGAGCACCGAGGAGGCCATCGACCTAGGCCGCAGAGCTATTTACCATGCAACTTATCGAGACCCGGCGTCAGGGGGAATGAATAACTGTAGGTTGAGTTCTTACAAACGCTTTATTTTTTAAACTTTAGTGTATCACATAACCAAGGATGGTTGGGAGTTCATTGGAGCTGTGGACGTCTCCGATCTTCACGAAAAGTATTATGCACATGCCACTGCTTGAACTTTTTGTTGCCTCATTTCTCAATAAAAAATATACAATTCTCCGTGTGATCTCTAAAATCATCGTGTGCGATGCGATTTCCATTTTTTACCGAATTATAAGTGGGTGTTTTCTTACAGGAACTTGTTTCTCAGCAGGAGTGACCCATGTTTTCTCGAAGGTCACTTACACTTTTTATTGTGTCTGTGTTGATATTTTTTCTTTTCGTGGAGTACGTGTTCCATTACCTCGTTCTTCTGCAATGCACCTGGCCACTGCTTACCGGTAAAAACACCGATCCATTTGTCCTTCCAAGTGGAAAATCTCGACCACTGAAAGTTCTGATACTCACGGACAGCCATATAAGTACAAGACATGAGTGGCTCTATAGGTTTATGAGGTAATTTTAACGTTAACCTCAGTTTGCTTTTATGCTTAATACAGATACAGCTTTCAATGAAATTTTAAATATTCTATTGCAAAAATTGCCTGTTCGGTCTAGATTCCCCTCCGAAACATCGTTACCAACTCATACTTTATTTTTGAGTAAGCTTTGACAGTTGAATTCTAACCCCTCAAAAATATTACCTTTACTGTCCCGAAACCCCGTTCTTAACCTTTATGCGTGGAAGTTGAGCTAATAGATAATGAACACTGCACACACCGGAGTATTCTATGATAGAGACATCTATACCCGTAAGTCTTAACAACAGATGTAAATGTGGACTTTGTTCCGTAGCCTAGGTACTCGGCGTTTGCACGAATGGCGGATAATAATGCGGTCCCTAGCGAAGGTTATATGCCAAATAAGCGGACTTTTGGGTCTGAGAAATAAGCAGTAGCACAATAGTAAAAGTAATACTGTCAGGCCGCGGAAGGCGGACTTCTAGCATGCCGACTACCTACCTACCGAGATGTCGCAAAGTCCCACTAACGGCATTGACGGCTACCATAAACTGCTACTAAACGCACGCCTACTGTCGTAGCCTGTTAGTCAATTTCTTCGGTTAAAGTTCTAAACAAGGCAACATCAGATAAGCAATCCGGTCGATTGTGTAAGGCCAATCAGTCCTCAAGCATCCAAGAAACTTGGAGCACGTCTAAAGCCTAATGCAGCCCATATTGTGACGTCTGTGTGAGCAGTACGCCTCGTAGCACTGATCCAATAGTTTGGGACTATCTACACAGCTGGAAACGGGCCCTAATTATTCAATGATGAAACGTGCAAGTGCTCCCTGACCCCGGTATCTAGTCTTGTAACTCACAAGTTTCGTAACAAAGTCGAAACCGACCGTCTGTCGAAAGCCCAAATCCCCGACTCGGCAAATCAACACCTTGAAGTTGGCTTACATCTCACCCTCTGCCAGAGAGATGAATACGATTCATCCGTTAAATACAGTGCGATCATCGCCTTTTCTGACTAGAGGAACCACACCGTCCGTCTGCGAACCAGTCAATCACGCGTTAACTTTGGTATGACTGAAGGTGTACGTGGACCCGGCCACACGTTTAAGTTTGATGATGTCGACATTTTCGTAAGGGCTGACAATGGCGTGGGCCAAGAACGGCTTGCGTCTTGGTTCTTTGGCCCGTAGTCGATGAATAGGCGCAACGAGCTTGCAATCCCGTATTCTATGCTGAGGCATGTTCTAGGAAGAGTAATTAACCACACAGGCGGCCAAAGGTTCCAGTGACAGCCAGCCACATCACAGCCGAGTCATCATCACATGGTGATGACATTTTTACAATTAATAATTCGGACGCAGAATAACGAGGAGTCCTGGGGTCGTGTACGACAACCAGCAATGAGTGTGGGGTCTGCTAACTGGAGTTGGCAAGTGGTTGCAAGGCATTTGCCTCCTATAAATACTGCACTCCCCTGTGCCCTCAATCATCCTTATCTGCATCTGTTTTCATGATAGATTCGAGCGAGAATCCGCAACGTCAAGCTTGTAACCGCCATGTTTCTGCAATACCATCTTCCCCTAAACTGCTTCCTGGAACCTACCTGTTCGTTTCTGCCAGCGATCACTCTTTTAACCGTTTTACGCGTTTTGTCGATGGCAACGGATTGCTAACCAGAACCGGCGTCACTGCCGGCATCTATTGACCTGCTTGTGGTCGTGCGACTAGCTAGATGGACTGCATTCTAGTCGCTTTCGCGGCTGAATGTGACTGATTAAACTGGAGGTCTGCTTTCCTTCTATCACACGCACCGGAGTCTTTCCGTTCATTTCCATTAAAAGATGCCCTAAGGTCGTAAAATAGTAATGACCGGGCACGTCCGACAGGTCAGTCCAGTTTCGCTTTGGAGCCGGAGTCGAAGGAGATGACAGTAATTTCAGGTTATCGTGAATATCTTTGTCTGCAAAAAATTCCAAATTACCCTACGACCAACTTAGCAGCGCCCCACTGACAGTCGCTGCGTTCCACCCTATCACCCGTTGACCGGCCGTCTCGTGCAGTCGGTGCATAGGAAGGCGAAAAGTAAGAACCACCCCAGAGTCTCTCCTCACGGCGCACCACCACATCGGTCACCATTATACATCGTACACATAAAGATTCGTGGTCTGGAGGGTGCTAGCTGGCGGAATAACTTTTGTTGCTCATGGCTAAGTCGAGCTGTAATGTCCCTTCTTAATGCGACTTTTACGGCACTAGCATCCAACAGAGATCCTACCCCACCATAAACAAGTCTGATACGTGTACTGGGAAACACGTGTTGTGTGGTCCGTGCAGACGAAGTCTTCAGCTCTGACAGTGACTGCGCCCGAGCCCATCTCCAGCCATCTTGACATTTTCTCTCCATAAAAACCTAGTGGGTGAGGAAAGGGAAGGTGCTACAGATGCGGTGCAAGTCTGTCATACTTCGAAGTAACTCACATGCAAGTCGCCAGTACCTTGCCTAGTCTGTGGGACATCCGGTAGACGTCGTCACTTGTGGCGGTCGAATGTCGGTAAAGAGCCAGGTTGCAGTTCAAAGAAACGCATACACACACACACTCTTCAACTGACTGAATGCCAGTTCGTCAACTCCACTGATTCGCTTCGGGCACCTAACGACTTGCATATGGTCGGGGTGATGTTGTTGGTTAGTTTAGCTCTACTGCTAACTTTTCTCACCCATATTCCTCCAAGTTAGTGTTCCACAGGGTGGGATATTTTACTAACTAGTTTTTTTCCTTCTCTCCTGGACGCTTTTTTTTTCAGGGAGCGACTGATGAAGCGTGCCTTCCAGACCTCATTGTTCATCCACAATCCAGATGTAGTTATTCATCTAGGCGATTTGCTTGATCACGGCTTCTACGAACCCGACAATGACTTTGAGAAGGATGTTGCTTACGCTCGCGACATCTTTCAGCTTAACCCATCCACGACAGTCCTCAAAGTGGTCGCAGGCAACCACGATATTGGATTCCATCACAGGTACTGTTTATATACGACTTCAGATGGTAGTTTCACAACCCTCGATTCAATATAACATTTATTGTTGTATTTCGTTTCCGAGAAAATAGTGTGATCGCTGCTGCAACAACAAAAGATGCATAAGTAATAAAATGTCTGCATGAAAAGAATTTCAAACAGACTTTGAAGCCACGCTACTCTGGTCTGTGCCTCCAATCTTATCCGATGCATAATTACCGTGATCAACGCTTTGTATTATGGCTCGACCTAGTGCTGTGTCCCCCCTCCCCTTAACTATTGATATGCATCAGCAATTCGCTCAGGGCTTTATCTATGGGCTTAGCCTATACGTCGCTCTACGTTGTCGCCGTTGCCGCTACCCGGTGCAATTTCGAAACATTTTTTCGTTTTTTCTATGAGAATTCGTATCATTGGTTTCCTGAAGGCAAATGAAACCACACGAATAGTAGACAAACTACATTGGTTTCGAATTCTCATGGATTCGTGTTCTACAGTGTCGTCGATCAATGACACCCAGTAGGCTATGGCTGTGTGGGCTCTGGAGACGATCAAGTCTAGCATCTCTTAGACATGATCTCACATATCCAGATGTCGGCAAGTAGGATTGTGCACGATTTTCAACCTCATGACACGTTAAGGATGCCCCCAACCTAGTCACCACAGACGAGTGGCAGTCAACTTTGCTTTTCTGATGTTTTAGCGTTTGTTTGTGCGCTTCATGCCGCAATATCTTCCTCATAGCTGCTAGTTATTCTGGCCTGACTTTCTCCTGCGAAAGTCATATCATCCAGGAGTGTAGTTTCACTCACCACAATATTGCATCTTAGTTTATAAATCTTCATTTAGAATCCAACAGAACTATCACTCGGGCTCTATCCGAAACCAGGGACGAGTCTGGAGACCCTATAATGAGTCTAGGCCTTTCCATTTGCAGTCACAGGCCTCGCAAGATCGGTCCCGTTCGTTGTCTTGCCATCTCAATGCGACCGTAGCTCCCACCCGAGTAACCTGCGCAGTCAGTTAGCATTTCCACTGCATAATTCGGCTTCTTAGTACCGCCTATGCCTATTTACCCAACATTCCGCACTGTCCTCGTGTTCCCCAAGTTACTTTTAACTTTG